AGGATCCCCATCTAACAGAGAGTATTCTAGAGTTTCCAAAGAAAAGATGCCTTGCTTTCGCTAAATCAAAATAGCAAACTGAGAAAAGGAGAAAACACTTTGGATATTGAAATAAATGCAAAATAAAGTAAAAAAGAGTGGCTGATCTGTGTGGTCTCAGCCATGGCCGGTTATCGAATATGGGTTTGATGATCGAACGTAACAAAAAGCCGGAAAAACTTACATCATTGGAAATAAATTTATTTCCTTAGGGAAGCTGCACTTCTGAGGTGGTCCTCTTTCCTTTTTCTCTTTTTGGTTGTATTATCTACTCAACATAGAATGTAGAGCATCGGTGCACTGGCAGCTTCGCTCTTTGTATTTATTTCAAATATTGTTTACCATTTACTTACTTTAGTCGCTTTGAAGCGTGTTATCCCTCAAAAACAGCTACATAGAAAACACAGGACAAAAGAGAAACTAAAGAGGAGCTTAGCGCTACGCTGCAGGGGTACGACTAAGTAATTGGCACCAACGGATGCTAGGCGTCACGCTTGCATCCCATGCAGTATAAGGTCTGGCAAGGTGATAAAATGCGCTACGTGCATATTCGTATACGTGCCGCAACTTGATAAGCGTTACCATGGAAAATTCAGTAAAAGGTTAGTTTTTTAAAAGGTGAATCTTGGCAATAATCATTTTCGAATTTTCACTACCCAATTTAGAAGACCATCTTTTACCAAAAACATAACCCAACGCTAATATATACTTGCCAATCATATGAATTTGCCATTCATAGTAATTACGCTACACTATATGGTTAATAAAATTTGCTGTTACAATAAAAAGGAATATAAGGTTCCCATAGAAGCCCATCCTGCGCAGAGGGTGGCGATCAAGAAAGTAAAACGTATAGAAATAGAAAGATACAAAAGCAACTACCATATCAATACTAATGTGGAATTTCGCATTTGAACTCAAACAGCAGAAGAATGACCCAAAGCCTTCCCTCTGCAGAGTACATTCTCTCACAAGTTCCCCCATCAGGGTAGCATATCAGCCTTCCCGTGCAGTTCCAAGCGACCGTTGAGTTACACTTTTGAAAGGTTGAATAATGCATCGAAGGGGGGTGTCCTAGTGCATGTATGGTGAAAAAACAAAGCCACATCAAGGACCTTTCAGCTTTTTAATCATTCCTTCAAATGGAAAGCCACATTTGGCGTAGTAGGAATCCCGAATGATGGAGCTATGCGTCGACAGAAACAGCGGCGCGGACGCCAGATACTTCCAGGCCTGACGCTTTGCCTTTGGGTCGTACACCATCGGCAAAAACCACTGCGTGCTGATAACAGCGGTTTTCGTTTCGCTTTCCCTCCTTTGAGCTTTTTCAAGACCTCCCGAATGGAAAATCGCTGGGTAGGTACGCCCCTTATTGCTGGACGTGTCTATAGATGTTTGTTTGAGTGTCAAAAGTGGTGGCGTGAAGGTGATGTGGGTTGTCTTGGAAGCCCTTTTCCCTCCAATCCACCTGGGTACCGCCCGCCTTGCATAAATTCCCTGACCATGTGCAGCGTAAGCTCGCTTGTAAAGGCTATGCACAAAGCGCGTCATTGTCCTTAAACGAGTTATGCTGCGCGAGTGCGGGTGCTTGGATCCGTCCAGTGGAAGGTATTTTGCCCACTGCTCATCGTGTAGCTCGGATCGGGTTAAGTATGTTTCTATACCAATAACTAAAGGCGCATTGGTATAGTCTAACCCAAGAAGCCCTGCACGCATCCCGTATGAAGACCGCGCCACCTTTTGTCCATCCATTGGCATCGAGAAAACGTCCCTCTCGACCTCCCACGTTATGAGATCCAGATAGAACGCTATATAGATGGACTGATCGGTGAGCCATCCCCTTTTAACTGTGGACTCCAATATTTGCGTATAGACGTAATTATTAGCCAACTTCGAGAAGTCCTTGTACGCCCACACACGGGCAACCACAACACCCGAATCCAGGTATCGGCACCGCGATACGTCAAAAGGCAGCGCGAGTTTGTGCTCTGGATGTGCAACAGCGTACTTCCGCACCTTCTCATAAGCATCTTCATACACAGGTTTGCAACCTCCCAAATGCTCTAATATGGTGGCCTTCGAGGATTCAGCCTCCGCATTAAGTAAGAGTGGTGCCATCGCACGGCCCTGCCGCACCGCCAGCGCGTCCAGCTCCTCGGGTGTCGCAGCAGACTGCGCGATGAAGCGATCTAGTAATGGGTTAATGTCCACACCTGTGAAAAATGTGCCTGATTCCATTACAACAATCACGTCTTCTGGCTGCAGCTCCGCATTCTTGATTGCCGCTTCCATGTACTCAATCTTGGAAAAAATTCCATGACACGGCATCTGATAGCCAGCCACCACCACGGGCAGCCCGCTTAGATAGGCTGAGCCCGCAGAATAGCAAACGGCATCATCTATTTTATCACTCATAACGAAAATAACCACACGAGTCCCTGTGGTGCGAGCAAATATATCCCGCCTTTCTCCAGAGGGAAGCACTGATGACGCAAAGTGGGCACGCATCGAATCATCAGCGAAGTATAAACAAAAAACTATAAAAATCACGCCGATAACCCCAACGAGAAGCGACCGCCAGAAGCGACTCTTAAAAATATTCCTTCGTAATCGCTTTCGTGATGACTCCTTCATTAAGACCATTGTTTTAACTTCCTTCTGTGTGAGCTCCTCCTAATAGTCAAACCCTGACCCACCGAATAAAGATTAAGCAACGTGAATTGTCCTTATGTCTAAACGAATTCCAATGTGTCAAGAAGAAGAAAATGTGTATGAGTAATAGTCACAGTATAAGTTCAATAAGCAGGAAAAATGCACTGTGTATCGATCGCTGATTTAAATTTTATCAACCCCCTCATGTTATCAAATCCTGTCATTAGATTACTCGCACCTGGCGTCACTTGCGGTCGCACACCTAAATAGAGAAAGGCGAATATGTTTTGGACATAGGCTCAGAGCACACCCATCTCAATCGTGAGAGAAGACATAACCTTCAAACCACAATCCACTGAAACTATAGAATCCAAGCGATCTGACGTACTGAGAGAAGCTGCGGAGGTTGAATAGAAGGTGCTCAAAGTGTGTGCGTCCGTCCGGCTGAACGCGTCGCAATCTTTTCTTCGCGGATGTGATTCTCCAAAAGGATGCAGGAGGGAATGTCTAACTCGAGTCCTGTGGGCGGGGAATGTCACTGTGTGAGGAAATGGTTTAGCACAGCACCCACATTACTCATCCACGTGGGGAATTCAGTGAGTGTGCTCATCGGGTGAGCCTGCTGACATCCCTCCCCTTCCTGTCAGCTCCCTGCCACTGACCTGCCTACAA